CTGTAAATAAAGAATTAAAGAAACCAGTACTATGCTGAGGTAAGGAGACATCGGATCATTTAATATAGAAAAAAGGGTTAGTAAGATTCTGCAGCAACGGCATCTGACGAATAGAAAGACATTTAAGCTTGGAACGAAAAGGAGTGATGTGGTCCGACTTTTGTAAGTTGAAGATAAATCTTATGCAGTTGTTTAGAAGGCGCTCCAACTTGTTACGAAGATATTGCGATAGTTCTGGATAGCACACATCTGCATGGTCTGTAATAGGAAGTATCCTTATACTTACTAAGGGATTAACTACTATACTTATATAAGGGAATTAACCAGCAAAAGCTTGGTTTTAAAGGGTAAGAAATTTTTAAAACGATAAAGGGAACGTAGAGTGGCAAAAACTTTAGAATAATTTCTTGAGATATTTTCGAGATCTGTACTCCCCAGATCTGAGATCTGAGAATGAGAAAATGGAATTAAAATTCAATTGTATAAAACTGATTCAAGGTTTCCATAGTCAATCATATTCAGCATTCTGGAGCTACCAACAACCATGGCTTTACTGAAACACCAAACCTATGTGACCGGAGTTTTTTTTTTATAGGAGAGGGGGCAAACGAGCATGCGGCTCACCTGATGGTAAGTGACTACCGCCGCCCATGAACAACCGCAACACCAGGGGAATTGCAGATGCGTTGCCGGCCTTTTAAAAAGGAGTAGGCTCTTTTCTTGAAGGTCCCTAAGTCGTATCGGTCCGGAAAAATCGCTGGTGGTAAACTATTCCACAAGGAAGTTGTGCGAGGAAGAAAACATCTTCTAAATCGCACAGTGGTGGACCGCCAATCATCCAGATGGTGTGGATGGTATCGGGAGTTCTGCCGCGATGTGCGTTCGTGAAATTTGGCGGCTGGGATTAATCCGAACAATTCCTCAGAGCACTCCCCATGGTAAATGCGAAAGAAAATGCTAAGAGATGCAACATCTCTTCGCAGTGCCAATGAGTCGAGCCGATCGGAAAGGACTCGGTCGTCGACGAGTCGAGCCGCTCTGCGCTGGATGCGGTCAAGTGGAAGAAGCTGGCACTGGGGAGCCCCAGCCCAGAGATGGGAACAGTATTCCATGTGAGGCCGAACCTGCGCCTTGTAAAGTTGCAGGCGTTGAGCCGGCATGAAATACTGTCCCGCTCTGCTGAGCACGCCAAGCTTTTTAGAGGCCAATTTGGCCTTCTCTTCCAAGTGACCACGAAACTGCACGCTACTCGATATGTCGACACCGAGGATTCCGATACTGGCTGAGGCAACAAGGGGAGTACCTCGAAACTGAGGAGATACGACAAAGGGGTTCTTTTTAGCGGTAAACGCGCAAACTTGTGTCTTCTGAGGATTAAACTGGACTAGATTTAGTCGCCCCCAATCAGAGACTTTGTCCAGCAAAGACTCGACTTCAGACACATCTTTGTTCCGGTACTCGGTGACGTTTTCCCGAGAAATATTGGCACGGCCGGTGTATAGAGCATCACCAGTGCTGTCATCTGCATAGCAATGAATGCTACCAGCTTGCAACATATCATTGATATGCAGAAGAAACAGCGTTGGTGATAGCACGCAGCCTTGTGGAACACCAGCGTTAATAGGCTTGTAGTCGGAGCATGCACCGTCTACAACGACCTTGATGCTCCGATCTGCAAGAAAGCTGGTGATCCAATTGCATAATTTCTCGGGAAGCCCTATCTTATCCGACACTATTCCGATGATATCCCGGACGTCAGTCTGAGCGAGATTAGAATGACTCTCCAGCACTTTAAAAACGGCAAGTCCCCAGGCGAGGATGGAATTACAGCGGAGCTTCTGAAAGCGGCTGAAAAACCGGTACTTGAAGTCCTTCAGAAGCTCTTTAATTCCGTCTTCCATGGTGGCGCTACTCCGGTGCCGTGGAGCAAGAGTGCGGTGGTCTTGTTCTTCAAGAAAGACGACAATGCTCTCTTGAAGAACTACAGACCGATTTCCCATCTGAGCCGCGTCTACGTGCTATATTCGAGAGTCATTACGAATCGTCTCGCACGCAGACTCTACTACTTCCAGCCTCCCGAACAAACCGATTTCCGAAAAGGCTTTAGCACCATAGACCACGTACATACCCTTCGGCAAATTGTACAGAAGACTGAGGAGTCCAATTTGCCACTATATCTTGCGTATGTGGACTATGAGAAAGCCTTTGATTCTACAGAGTACGAAACCTATCCAACTGCAGAGAGGTGTAAGACAAGGTGACGTTATATCCCCGAAAATCTTCACCGCTGCGTTGGAAGACGTTTTCAAGCTAATGGAATGGAAAGGATACGGTATTAACATCAATGGCGAGTACATCACTCCTCACCTTCGATTTGCCGACGATATAGTCCTTATGGCAGAATCGCTGGAGGACCTAAGTACTATGCTCAATGACCTCAATAGTGTCTCCCAACGGATAGGTCTTAAGATGAACATGGATAAAACAAAAATCATGTTTAACGTCCATGTCACACCTATGCCGCCGGTAGTTGTTGCGAGCACTAAGATCGAAGTTATTGTCGAGTATGTTTACCTAGGACAAATATTCCGACAACGTAAGTCCAACTTCGACCGAGAGGTCAATCGACGGATTCAACTCGTCTGGGCAGCGTTCGGGAAATTACGACACATCTACCCGTCAGGTATACCTCAAAACTTGAAAACGAGGCTGTACAACCAGTGCGTGTTGCTAGTAATAACTTATGGAACTGAGACGTGGTCCTTCACTGCTATTCTCGGGGTTTCTCTGCGTAATAAAATTAGAAATGAGAATATCCGCAGTAGAATCAGAGTGACCGACATAGTCCAACGGATTAGTAAGCTGAAGTGGCAATGGGCTGGCCATACAGCTCGAAGAACCGAGAACCGATGAGGAAAAAAGGTTCTCGAGTGGCAGCCTCGGGGACGCCTATGTTCAGCAGTGGACTTGTGAAGGGCTGTAATGATGATGATGATGATGATGATGATAATGAGACACGGATGGCATCTAAGTTCGTGTTTAGTTACCTAATTCCATTAATTATATCATCGGTACTGTTTTGTACATATAGCTAAAGGTCATCAGCATACGGATAGTACGAGCAACTGAAATCATTAGATATGGAGTTTATAAATAGCGAAAACAATATTGGAGATAATATACCGCCTTTCGGTACTCCAGCTTCAACGTTAGCAGAAAACTACTCCCCTGCTGCTCAACTACTGCCGACCGCGAAGATAGGATGAAAACCTCTCTGAGGCTGGAGATGAGAATCTGAGATGAGTAAAAATAGATAGGAGGATATCGTAGTCTGTGTTAAAAGCATTCGAAAAGTCAACAAGCGCCACTACTGTAACTTTCTGTTCATCTATCCCTTTTCTAATGTCATCAGTGATCTTAATAAGTGCAGTGGTGGCACTGTGACCAGAGCGAAACCCTGACTGAAAGATATCCAGTAAGTTACATTTTTATGAAAATAGATAATTGCATATGCACATAGGCTTCCAGAACTTTAGAGAGATATGGAAGAATAGAAATTGGACGATAAAGATTAAGTAGTTCTGTGAAATTCGGATCGAATACTTGACGAACGATACCTTAAAGCACACAACCCCAAACGTTGTTTGGTAGTAAACTTGATTCCTTTTTCATATTTGTTTTGGTGGGAATTTATATACTCATCAAAAAGTAAGACTTTTTTTATAGGATAAGGGTGACAAATGAGCACACAGTCCACCTGATGGTAAATGGTTAACATTTACATCTATCTTCGATTACGAATCAAAATACAGATGCGTTGTCACCCGTGTGGTCTAAGATGGAATGCCTCATTTGCAGAAAAAGGGTCTCCAGTTCTCTACACTCACCATACGAAACACAGCAGCGTTAAGCTGCTATTTTCCGCTGGTATTCTGTGAGAGCATGGTCCTTCCCCGGTCGAACCGACCCATTCGTGCTTCAACCATAATATAGCTGCAGCATGGCTCTACCACGTATAGGACTGATCAAATAATTTTTAAGGCAATTCAATAAATTACAAGTATTCAATTTCAATAAATAAATTCAAGTAGCATTGCATAAGCTCTTACGTTTTTTCTTTATTATAACTGGCTTAAACTTCAGGATAAATGCGAGTTGTCAACTCAGAAATTTTACAGTGAAAAAGCTATTTGCATTATTGTCTACTGTATAAAAAGTCTCATCTTTACACATGCTCAACGGACCCATTAAATTGCTGAAATTTCTGCGAACATATTCTGCTTTCTACATAAAATTTTAAAATACTTTATTTTACCCTCTTTTCGAGACTTACATTGGCAAAAAAAAGTTATAAACCGTACGATTTAAGTTTATAATGGTGGGTTCGTACGTATGCTTGGTTAATTGTTCAACCACGAGCATTGGTGAAAGTTGGCCAAGCCTTTAGTACTGACTCATATTTTAACAAACAATATTCAGATGTAAATTAGGACGATGTTACAGCTCGAGTTTTGAAGTTTCTCTTCGTTTTAAAAGCTTAGTTTCTAATTAGGGAGTTAACAATATTGCTAATGACCGTAACTTGCTCCAAATGTAGTTTTTTTCTTAATAAACTTGAAACTTGATATATACACCTACTTGATCAATTTAATCGTATTCTAAACGAACTGAGAACATGGCAAGGATGTCCGCTCATGATATAGTTCTTTTGACGGGTTTTCAAATCGACTGAGGACGATGCGTAGACGGAAAGTGGCTATTTCACCCCACCCCTGCATCAAGGTGCGCGGGCGCGTACCTGCGCGTGCGCCGCGATGCGCACCTCCGCTTCACCTCGCCGCGGAAACGAGCAGGTAGCTCGTACAGCGCCGCACCGCCGCTCAGTGTGCGCGTTCGCTCGCCGCCGATGGTAGTGTCCGCAGTGCGGACGCACGCGCGTGAGCATGCTGCCAGCGCCTCGTCGGTGAAGTGTCATCGCTGTGGTCCATCCGACGAACGAAATGTCCTGTGAAAGGAGAACAAAGGCCGCGCGTTTCCTCGATCTGCGGTGAGTTCGACTCGCCGTGCCGTGGCTTCCTGTCGCACCCGACACGATGATCCTTTGTTGAATCCTCGCTACGAGTGACATGTGCCCGTCTCTTTCACACGCGTTGTATTTACCGAGTGAACCGATGCTGGTAGTGATTGTGTCTCCGTTCGTTTTGTATTTGAATACGGATATCTTGTAAGAATAGTTCTAAAAAAATAATTATGGTTGGTTAATAACAAGGAAATAATTTAAAAAATATTAAGTGCTCGTCAGTTACCATTGTAAGAAGCTTAAAATAATTTGATCGTCGGGTATATTATATACGTTTTACGTTAACATTGAAGAACAAAACCATTATTTTGCGACCTTGAGAAATTATAAGTTACGAAACCATCGACCCTAGCAAATATTAATATCTCGATTATATTGGCAGTTACGATTTTCTTTTTTTTACATATATTCTTGGTTGTTTTTTGTCAAATTAGTTAACGTTCAAAAGTATCAAAGAACTCCGAAGTCATTTCGGCCATTAGTCACAAATAAAACTACTATACTTACTCGCATAGCTGCCCAAAACCTACCCGGAATCATAGCACATATTATTTCTAAAGGACAAGTAGGTACTACGGAAACGTCGGCTAAAATATTGGTGAACGCTTATGCTCTGCTGGAATGCAGACGGTAGGACAAGAGTGGCTCAAGCGCAGATGTTGAGTTTGCTCCCCGCCTCGCCTCCCGGCCTTGAAAGGCTCTTGACCAGGCCAGTGGCGCCGATGTCGTATTTATTGCAACCTCCGCGATCTGTACCGACGAGGTTATTGACGCCCCGCAACTACATACTATTTATTCATGGGAACGTAGACAAGAGCGACGCTTAGAAGTCAACCTTCTCCGTTATGCGATTCTCACGTCAATCTTATTTTAATGAACAATACCTATTATGTCATTTACGTCACTACTCGACTAGTTTCCGCCTACAAACTTTAGTAAGTAACAATGTGAGTCACGCAACTAACTCGCTTTATAATAAATCTTCGGTAAGCAATAAATTTATACATTAAACTTTATGACGGAACGATGGAGATGCAATGTACTTATTGTGTGTAGTTTGTGTCGTAGACATCTCCTAATGTTACTTTAGTGGTTTGCACATTCATTTTCACAGACTTCGGCAATATCTATAAATATACTCGTCAAGCGGGTACGGATAGGATTGAAGTTCAGTCAGCCCACGGTGAAGGTCGATTGTTACAAGCTTTGCCTTTTGAAGTCAAACCTCATGAAATGCACATACTGTTTATGTTTTAAATATCCTCCACACACGTCTCGGTTTTGTTTTTTTTTTTTCACTTTTTTAATATTCTGTGTATAATACGTGCTCACCATTACTCAAAAATGTTCATAATGAAGTTATTAATTTTACACACTACGCATTTTCAGAGAATTGAGATTTGCAGCACCTAGTTTGGGAATTTCTACAACATTCACCAAAATAATAACTTTCTATTAAAACTTGCACTGCTGTAGTTAACAAGTAGGCGATTTTCAGTGGGTATAAATTTCGATTTTACATTCGACCCAGTGGCAGATAAGCTCTTTGTGTGCCATATGGCGACGAGATCCACACTCCACAAAGCGAACGAGGCCGGCATATGTCGCCGCTTTCACTCCCTACACCTACATCACAATCGATGTTACATAGCTTTACGCGTAGACTGAAATAAATTAGGACGATTCTCTGCGCCCTTTGTATATTCATGGTTCTCGGGTAGACATTACCATAAAGCTATCCAGTGTTTTAGTAGGTTTGAAATTCAAGAAATTGCTCGAGTTGACTAAAAGAATTCTGTTGACGTCGCAATTGCTGTTTACTTTCAGTTTGTAAATAATTATTTATTTTAATATAACAACATGTTGTTTGTTATGCGTTCCTTAGCATTATTTTCTTGTTGATTTATTTATTTGAATCGTATACCTCAAAGCAATACCTCTTTAAAAATGTGAAAGAATTTTCAATTTAAATAAACATTACAATTGAAGTTTTGAATTAGTATTAGTGGGTAAAATAATAACTGTTAAGTATTCATTTTTATTGTATATACAACAATTTTTGGACAAGATGCAGTTTAGTAATATAAGTATATCTTATAAATACCAAAGAAATGTTTCTTTTTACAATTATTCTACAATTTCATAAATCAAGTATATTTATTCCAAGATAATTTTAATGGATAGGTCAAAAGCGGTTTATGCGTCACCTCGCTCCGTTGTTCTATGCATATGCAAGGGTAGTTTTTGTGACAGCAGCTGGTTTACCCCCACGAGTGACTAACGTCCTGTATCTGTGCCCTAGCGTGGGGTGGGGTGCGTGTCATTGACCCCACTTGCAGCCCCATTCACGATACGCTCTGCACAATTTATCCTTTGCCCTTTGTGCTCCTCTAGTATACGAGTATATCGGTTTTTATATCATACTACTTTGCAACCCCGTAATTGCGTGCATTTAGCAGTGTTGTCAATTTTCTTGGGACTATCTACTACAGACAGTTTAAAGCGTTTCTATTAAATTATTTAGCTTATTGAATTTTCATATAATTTGTTCAATTTGGAATATAAAAACTAAGAGATTAGATAACAAAATAAATAATAAACAAGTTATAAGTCGGTCACGATTCTATATGTAACTTTTAATGTCAATGACAATAATGTGAAATTCTATCTCTAAGTTATTACTTATTGTTATAATTCCCTTCGTCTTCGCTGCATATTTATAACAACGGTCAGATAAATTAAAATGATTTCTATGATATAGACAGATACGAAAAATAATGAGGTCTTTAAATAATATGTTTACCAAAGATGTATGTAACTTATCAGTGTATTTTGTATTATAAATAATTTACACTTTGATTTAAATTGCATTTACTCTCAATAACACAACAAACAGTACCCTAGCAAGTAGCAACACGAATTCGATCCCCGCCGGCACCAATGTAATTGTTAATTGTAATTTTAAGTGGCGTAAATCAGCATTTACCATGTGCTCGGCGGTGAAGGAAAACATTGTGAGAAAACCTGCATGTCTGAGAAATTAAACAAAATCGAAGACATTTGAAGTCCGCCAACACGCATTGGAGCAGTGCGGCGGATACGGACACTTCCTTGCCCTAAAACCCTCTCAGAAGTGAAAGGTCTATGCCCAGCATTGGGACGTATATAGGCTGTAACTTAATTCGCTTAACTTTTACTGCAAAAAAAAGTCAATGAACAATTTAGGATCGTCAATAGTCCTACTCTAATCTGGTTTGGCACAAATTTCAGGTAGTCGCAGACAGACACTTCGAAATAATTTGTTTTCATAGAATTATACGAGTTTTTCATTTCGCTATAGGTTGGTTATTGGTTTTTAGAAAACAACATTATTAATTTCATTCGGATGCATTTCCAACATTTTACAAACTCGCTGGAACAAAATGAGAGAATATTACGCATTAATCAGCTAGACAAAATTTTACCCCATTTCTTAGTTTCAAAATTTGTTTTTATATTCATTGTATTATACTTTTACGAGTTTGTCTGACGATCTGCACAATTCACTAATGGCATAAAAATGTCGCAGTTAGGTACTAAGGCTCAAAGTTATTTGTCTTTTTCATATTGGATAGTACTCATTTCAACTCGTAAATAATATTAATTTGAGTCGATACGCTTTTGTATCGTGTTTTATATATAATTTATATATAATTTTTGTAATTTTACTTCCATCCATGCTCTAAATATTCTAAATATATTTTAATGTAAAATATGCGTTATGCATTTATATACAAAGATTTATAGCAGATCATATCTTACAATACCTTTATCATAAGAAATTAAAATATATGATAACATTGTGCACTGGCACTGGCAGGCTATTCCTAATATATTCTACTACATTTCTTCTAGTAGGTAATAGTAGTAGCAGTAAGTATCATATAAATTCTAAAACCCAGAGAGCTTTTTAAATCAGAAGTATAATAATAGCTGGTTAGCTTATGGTCGATACCCGCAAGCTCATCCAGCCGCCGCCGAGCCCCGTACCGGTTTTGAGCGCCGAGCGGCCGAGGAAAAACAAATGAAACAATCGTTTGTTTTCTTTTTGCCCCCTCCGAGCGCTGACGATCTTCACTTTTTAGCTTTCGCGCTAGAAATTCGACTGCAAGAACACTTTACTTTACCTTAATCTGTTGCAGAGATATTAATCTCCTGTGTACGTCCATCAAATACGTTATTTGAACATGTATAAAAATATATCATCAAATTTTAATACTATGTAGCACCAGTTACAATACATTTTTTATCACTTAATTTTTATGAAAACGTTATCACATGTAAAAATAATTCATTTTTCAAGTGCAAGCCCTCTTTAAAGTCGAATCTTATGGATTAAGAAAGTATTTCATTAATAATAATTTCACGAGAAGCCAAATTATAAGTAAATTTCAAACACCGTAATTTATTTGCATTTATTTGCATCATGATGTAGTTGTCGGTGTTCGTAATCAATTTTTCGAAATGAAGTTCCACAGACGAGGTGCTGACGAATGTTATTTTACAATTTACGCCAAAATGTTTCATGTTAACAGTTTTAGTGTTTTTCATTTTATGTTTATATTTTATATTTTTATATATATTGGCGATCAGTGTGACCATTTACAAGTTACAAAAAAATAACCTTCATAAATATTTTTTACACATTTATAGTCATTCACAAAGTGATCGGTGACCGCTTAAAAATTTCATAAGCCGAAACTTAACGTCCGCGAAACGGTAGACGTTCATTAAACAAACTTTGTAATTCGATCACTGCGAAGACAGACATCTCGGTAATTAATTTTATCGAGTTTTTTTTTTCTCGATAGAACGAAATCAATCGAAGCTTGCACTTAACACTTACATTCTACAGTGTCGAACGCTCTAACGTATAGAAGTAGAAGTTGACGATCACCTGAACCACTTTTGTAGCACACATTTTACTC